TATATATATAGATTATATATTTTTATTTATTTCATAAAAAAAAAAGACTTATTATTAACAAAGTATAATTAAACAAATTCTAAATGTAATAAGTTATTATTCACTTAAAGCATTCTTTTGCTTTTTTTCCTAAAAAAAAATATGTATGGATCGCCGTTGACGACAGAAATTATTACTCCCCAGTGTGTTACTCGTTAAAAGATTTCTGGCAGGACAGTGTGACGTCCTGGGTCCTCTCCTCTGTTGTTATAAAAAAAACGATTACCTTGTACTGTTAAAAAAAATCATTTGGCCGAATGAGCCAGGTTAAAAAATAATACACATAAGACTACGTTTGGCTGAAGGAGCCAGGTTTTTGGCAAAATGTGCCAGGTGACCAATAGGCCAGTGTATTTGTCTTGGATAAGTAAAATTTCAAGTCTTTGGTAAAATTTACCAGAAGGCTCAATGAGCCAGAGTACTTGTTTCTTTACTTGTCAAAAACCAAGTCCCTTATTATATGAAATGTTCCTCCTTTTATATCGAGCATACCGGAGCTTTTTGGTGTAGCGCACCGGTATTAATTGCTGTAGTTAACTTCGCCGTGAAGTTGAACTTTTTGTGTTCTACTGTGTACTGCTTGTGTCTTTTCGTGTTTGCTTGTTTTCCTCTTCTTTTACCTCGCCGCGACTTTGAGTATTTACTACGCGTAGTGTTTATTTCGTGTGTGTTTTCTTTAATTTATACTTTATTATTTAAAATAAAGTATATTAATAATTCAGAACAAGGTATGAAATATATATATTGTGAATTTAATATTATTCAAACCTAAATGTGAAAATATAATCAAATAAATTAGAAATAATCAAAAAAAACTAGTGTTGGTGTGCTTAGTTATTGCCGGAGTTTGTTTTGTTTACGTGTATATAAAAAAAATAAAATTGTACAAACATGAGTGTTAAATTATTTTGTGTATTATTTTATTTATATATATTTTAAATAGATATTTGTTTAATAATTAAACGTGTTTTCTGTAATAATTGTTCAGTGTTGTTGTGTTTACAAGTTTTTTTCCATTCATAAAATTTGTAACAAACAAATTAATTTTTTTCGTATATTTTAGATTCTGCACATTGCATATATCGATGCCCGCGGCACGTTGAAATCGAGGATCGCAGGTAATGTCCATGATATTTTAAATAAACATTTTAATTCAATTTCATATTTTTTTAGATAAATCCACTTCAATTTTCTTCATGTGAGTTATTTTATCTATATTGTGTGTAGCGGTGGTAGTTAGTTGACAAACAGATTTTATTTTTTTTCTTCTTCTTGCGATATGTAGCACAGAAATTTATTCTGTAAATTTGTGTCGTTACATGACCCAGCGCTGGGAATGTTCGAGAGCAACGTTCTTTGTAAGATCTTTGGTCCTCTACGAGTTGGCGATGACTACTGCATACGAATAAGCCACGAACTGTACGAGCTTTATCACGACATTGAAATAATACAGTGAACTAACATCGAATGGCTTCGCTGGCTTGGTCAAGTCGTAAGAATGGATGAAGATGCTCCAGCGAAAAGATGTTTAAAGTAGTAGTTGGCGGAAAAAGACGTAGAGATAGACCGTGGAGTAATCAAGTTGAGGGAGCACTAACTGGACTTGATGTGTGAGACTGGAGAAGGCACGCGCGCCCACAGAGGCAGTAGAGACATGTTGCGTCATGCCGAAACTTGGTAACGGGTTATTATGGTAAAATAAGTAAATAAGTAAAACAACCATGTTGCCTTATGAATGTTGAGAAACTGGAATCTAGTACAACTAACCCCCATGTTTCTAGCCACGGCGAATCCATCGCAATGTTTGTCATAGCAACAAATGTGTAATACATGAGACTTGCACAAATTTCGCAATTCAACGCACTAAGTCAACAACCAGCTACGTCTTATAAGTTCAATACATTTCGATTTAGGGCCATTTTATGTAGAGTGGCGCGGACACGGTAAAATTGGCTTTTTCGGGTTATGACGAAAATGTATGTTATGTAGAGTGTCACTTTAGTGTTGCCAATTTTATATTTTTACTACTTCCTGCAATATTTTGGTTGTGCTAAATTTAAAAGGAAATGTAGATATGACCACTTTCAACATGCCACCAAAAATAGCCAGCAAAAAAAAACACATAGATTCTGTAAAAATATTAATTTAATGTTATATTTTCTTATAACAATTTTTAACAGTACTTACAACATTATAAGCCTTTCCTTAAAATCGAAAAGTGTGATTATTAAATTAATAATTAGATTATTAGCGGTTTATAAAATAGGCTGTGTTGTTTCCTGACACTTTTTCTTAAAAATGTATTGAGATTGTAACAATTTCCTCCTAAAAGACGCAAATTCTGACATTTATTACTAAACAACACTGCTTTGCCTAAGTGCCCAGGAACAGGTAGTCTCTGCTCTGATGACGGAATTTAACATATTGTTTCGTTTGTTCCGTCCTATTTACGTGGTCGTTCGCGATCACTGGATCCTGATGAGAAATTATATTCAACTTGAGTTTAATATAACCATATTTATTTTGCTCTGTATTTTGTTAAACACAATTTTTCCTAATAACAACAATATACATATATCAAAACTTATTTTTTAACTAAACTAACATTCCTAGAAATTATACCAAAGTATACTTAAATTCCATATTCACAACAATAGACGTTTTCTTTTGTAAACATATCACAAAAGAAAAACTGCTTTTTTTTAAAAAATAATATATGAAATAACAACAATGCTGGCTTATTTAGTCCAACCTTTTTGAATTGCTTAACTAATAAGCAACTCAAATCACATGATTGCCAACACTGAAAATTCATCTATTGTGAACGATTTTTGGAAGTGCATACGAAATTTGCAGTTAAATGTCAATGAATGATTTCGTCAATTATTCGTATTTCATGTCGTCATTTTTCGTAACAAATATATTATATATTTGAGCAAAAAATGATACACACGATCCGATGATTTCGACAAGTTTTACTTCACTTTATTTAATATCATAATCACGGTTGCCACTTGAAAATTTTTTCCTGTACCAAAATTGGTTTAAAAAGGTACCATTTCTGTAAAAAAAGGTCCAAAATTTTTTTGGACCTTTTTATTTTTTCGATCTGTGTTTTTCATAGTGTTATAAATGAACAAAATATAAAATAGTGCAAAGTTGCATTTATAAAATAAATTAATTGGAAATATCCACAATAAAGTTGGGTCGTCAAAAATGTACCATTTCTTGAACAAAAGTACCAAACGAAAAAAAAGTACCAATTTTGGTACTAAAGTTCCATAAGTGGCAACCGTGATCATAATGAATAAAAAGGAATACAGAAACATGACAGTTCTCTGACTTAAGGCCAGAGTTACCAGGCAATTAATATTTATTATATAAAGAGTACTTTACATAACAACAAAATAGGTTATATGTTCTATGTATTATTTTACTGTTAAAAGATACGAAAAATTATATTTTATTTATAATCATGTAAAAAAAATATTCACATCAACAATTGCAAAGAATTATTATTCCTTTTAAATTAAATTCCTTTAAATTTTATTACACATTTATTGCTCATATGAGCCGAACAAAATCTCCATTTTGTCCAGAGTTGCCATCGAAAGGAGTGCTTCTTTTATTAGATCTTTTGTGATATGTTTACAAAAAACAAAACGTCTAAAATTCTTTTTTCTCTCACTCTCAATTTAATAATTTACATTGAAAACAACAATAATATTCTCATGCTGTGCCCGTGACACTCTACATTACATGGCCCCTACGAAAATAAAGTGCAAGTCAATTATAATTCTCATTAGCTACATTTTTATGTTTCTATAAAAGCTTCTTACTTTGATCAGTGAAAATATTTATTGATTTTAATACACAGACGTTACGTGTAGCGATAAATAATTCGGGTTCGACTTTGAGCGTTATTGGAATATAAATGCTCTGCAGGTTATATAAGTTTTATGATATTTGCTCATATATATTTTATATGAATGAAAGAAGTTTGATTTATATACGTCTCAAAGATGATTTTGTTTTAATGTTCGTGCAGCAAAAAAGAAAACCGAACCCAATCAAAATATTTTCCTATTTTGTATAAAAATAAAAAATTTAGGAATTTTATTTTATATTGTACTTTTTTACTTCAACTCAGATATGCTGGATATTGTTCTTAATTATCAATTATTAAGGTGTAAGAATATTAATAATTGAATAGTTGCTTTAAGCGCAAATAGGGTTATATACATATATATAATTAATGCAAAATCTGTGCAAATTGTTTTCATGGTCAGTCGTTATTTTGGAATTATTTTCAATTAATTTTTCTCTATAAATGTATATCATTATAATGAACGCTTATAAATTATGTAAAAAGATAAAACTCTGACATTCTTTAAATAAAATAATGATTCTACCCGGAAACCTACAGAAGATGGTAGGTTGTCAAATACAAAGACAATTAAAAATAATTGGATTAATAGAATATTTTTTGTATTAAAAATAAATGTTTTTTAATTTTACCTAGAGAAAAGGATAAATATTCTCTTATCCAAACCAATACATACATACATAAATATTATTATTTTTTTAAATGTAATAAATACATACATGTATGGAAAATAACTACACATGCGTAATTATATGAAATTTTATACAGTTTAATTAATTTAGTTCGATATTCATTTCCATCCATGGAGGTCATTAATTGATTCTCGTATTTGTGCGTATATTTCCTCAATGGTGTAATTAAAAAATGTTTAAAATGACATATGATATCATTCATAATTACCATATTTCAACAGCGGATGAACATGTATTAATAGCATTTAAGCACTCTTGATAGGTGGTGTATTTGCTCTTAGGTCAATAGGGCCATAGGTGACAGACTATGAAAGGTAGCAGAAAATCCTCCTTTCTGTAGCTATGAGAAAATCAATCATATTAAATCAATGTTTTTTGTATTTTCAATAGTTTCTTTTTGTGTTAGAAAAGTATATACATTATGTTAATTCTCTAAATCAAACACAGTTTTTCGTTGTTGAGGCTCATCTTTATTAAAAAAAATTGGTTTTTCGTTAAACAAAACGTCAAGGTGCTAAAGGCTAAATTATTTGCAAACAGATTTAATACTTCCACCTACTGCTCTAGAATTGACATAGAACATAGAATAGTTCAGTTCCTACTTCAATTGACTATATTTGCTTTAATCTTAACCACCATCTAGAGTTCGGCTTTCCTCTATCAAGTAGGGATGTTGGAATTCTAGATAGAGTAATTTTTGTTAAAATGGCAAACATTTACTATAGACAGTGACATACTTAATCATAAATCAGATCATAGCATCTCACTTCAACTACCGAACCATTTTTATTTTAAATATGTTAATTATTTAGATCGATGATCAACATACACCTCGCATATTTGTTTCAAAAAGAAATTTATTCTTTATATAACGACTCAAGACTTCTGATCCGGTAATGCACTCTTTTACACTTTCGCTGCTTAATGCGAAATTTTCTTAAAAAAACTTAGAACCATTTTTTTTGTCAATCTTGTTTCCAGAACTTCTTCATCATTTTCTAAAATAGCAACTCATTTAAATTTTACTCTCTATTTTATAATATTTACCGCCCGTACTTACCAAAGTCCAGCACCTCCTTTGGTTTCAAGTAACCATTGAATAGAGCGTTGTTATTTGTTGTTTTTGAATAATTTGTAATTTTTGATAAATTATTGTGTGTTCTTTTCTATATGCAACCACTGCTGCATTCAAATTGTAAACAATATCACAAACATTATGTATTAAATTATTTAAATTTTCTGCGTTTTCCATGCTAATTGATTTTCTTCTAACAATACACAATTTAATGTCAGCCGTGTACAATTAAAATGTAAAAAAAAGAAAATGAGCTCTTACAAACATACATACATATACATAAAACATAATTATTTTAGTTCATTTATATTTACAAGGAACATATAAAAATATATAAAAAGAGCATAAAATTGAATTGAATCTGAAATAAAACATAAACAAAAATCATTATTAGACAATTATGAAATCATTATTATTATTATTATTATAAAATAACTTAAATAAAAATAAATCAAAAATTTATGCATAAAATAATATTTAAATTCAATAACAACCAAAATATAATATGCCTAGGAAACGGGTAGAAATAAATTAATGAACGGGCTTCAAAATATGAGTACGCTAATATTGAAACCATAAATTTTGTTGATAGTACCGCCTAAGCTTCAGATGTAGCTCCTCCAAACAGACTCTGAGAGATTTCAATTGGTTTCAGTTTTTAAAGGACTATGCAAGACTACACAAAATATTAATTCTGGAACAACATAAGGTCTCCAAAAATTCTTGCTATGAATATTACAGAAAGGCACTGAAGAAAGTAGCAATGCTATCCTGTTTAAAGATTAAACAAGAAAAGAATGAAAAATACTACGTATGAAAAATGAAAAATGGAGACTAACAGTATTGCCCGCTCAAAAGAGAAGTGCGTTTATAATACAGTGCTTACGTTTAATGTTTACAAATGGCACGCATGATCTAACGTCTGTTGCAGAGGGGTTAGGCATGCGCATGCCTAATGTTTCAAAAGGAGGTGCATTTCTACTTTGCTGGGTTTTACTTAGATTTGGACGCAACTATCGTGGACATATTGAATCACCACACTGCAATATGGTGCTAGCCTCCGACCCATCTGTTGAAAAGTGCCAGGTTTTTGTGATTTCACTTGACACCTACAACATAAAATATATCATAAAATTACAATATAAAACGTATTGATTTTAATAACTTACGCTGCAGCTTCAATGGCATTTCGTTTTTTGAGTACGTCTGTATTTGTCTTTCTGTTTTTCTGCCTTCGTACCGCATGTTTGTTGAAGTTCATGCGTTACTGCGCTCTGCTTCTAATTTTCCTTGCATTTCTTTTATATTTTGTGACTGCAAACATTTCAATTATAATTAGTTTTTAATAAATTTATTATTTGTCTATTAATATCTACAATTCTATCCATACCGCGAAGGAAGTGTGCACAATGACTCTCATGAAATTCCAAAATAGGCATTGTGGGCAGATCCTTTAGCCAGGGCTCTCAATGGAAAAGTATATTCATTTGTTGTGGCAAAGTAGTATTTATTATTCTCCTACGCACTATTTTTGCACAAATTGGACATTTGTATGTCGGCACGGACTCTGTTACCAATTGAGCAGGCCAACAATTTTCGCAAGCATGACTGCATGCAAATAACAGAAATGGACGTTCTTTTATTAAATAAATCTCAAAGCAACGATTGCAATGTATCCATTGTAGTCGCTAATCATTATTACTGACACTATCAATCCATTCACCGCTAGTTGGCATCATTTTACTGTCAATATACATAAATGCATGGTTTAACTTTAAATGCAAAAAAATTAAATTATTTCATATACTTTCGTTTGTTTACATTTTGCAAGTTGTCACATTTTAACAGCGAATTTGTTTAAATTCAAAACAAGATGTCGCTCGCTCATTTACAAAAACGAAACATAGTTGGCGATAAGCGCACTAATAATTAAAATCTGTTATGGAAATATGATCAAAAACATAGAAATATAAAAATAAATTTAAAAAAAATTAAAAATTTATATATATGTAAAAATATTAGTCTAATAATATATATGAATGATTAAAAAAATTAACAATAAATAATATTATTCACCCTTATATAAGTAATTTTATTTTAAATAGTTATAAGTAATATGTAATTAAATTTAGTTAATAGTTCTAGTTAATTAAAGTTAATGTATAATTAGTTATCTACGGTTTATAGTTGTATTCTATATAATTTAAGTAATAAAATTTAGTTAATAATTCTATTGTATTTGATATAAGAATATAATAATAAAAACTTAATATATAAAGCATAATCAATTATTGTATAATATGGTGTTTATGAATATTCTTCATGAAACTATTGTTACTGTATGGCATAGCCGAGTCTTGATAGCCAAACATATTAAGAGCATTTACACTAATAACAACTGTGGTTGCGCTACTCCAGTGTTTTCCATCATGTCATAGGCAAATATCATATTTTAGTATGAAGCTAGTATAAAATTTCAGCAAAAATCAAATTTTAAATAATTTGGAAGACTTGTGTATTTCATGCACACGAAGCCAGTCATATATTTTAAGAAAAAAAAGGCACAAAAACAAAATCCAAGCATCACATTCAAAAATATTGTCTCACCTACCCATGCATATATATATTTAGTAAATGTGCAATAAAAAGAAGAGTAGAAAAAATTTACCAAGAAACTTACATACGCATGAACTAGAAGCTATGTGTGCATTTGCTCTGATATTAGAGTTTTTTTCTATATGATTTTGTCCAAGCAAAATACAACATGTTCGCTATTGGTTTGATTGCTGACTTCACTAACAAAATAGCATTGATCATACATAAAATAATAAGTTCGATTGTTTATACGTTTGAACAGACATGTTTTTCCCATTGCGTGTACCTTTTCAGAATTCATGATTTTTTTAACAGAGGCAAATTACATGTCTTTATATTTCTATGTTTTTGACATAGTGTTACACAAATTTCTTACGAGAAGCTCGTGGAACAGATCTAATATCATCTTTCCATAACAGATTTTAATTATTAGTGCGCTTATCGCCAACTATGTTTCGTTTTTGTAAATGAGCGAGCGACATCTTGTTTTGAATTTAAACAAATTCGCTGTTAAAATGTGACAACTTGCAAAATGTAAACAAACGAAAGTATATGAAATAATTTAATTTTTTTGCATTTAAAGTTAAACCATGCATTTATGTATATTGACAGTAAAATGATGCCAACTAGCGGTGAATGGATTGATAGTGTCAGTAATAATGATTAGCGACTACAATGGATACATTGCAATCGTTGCTTTGAGATTAATTTAATAAAAGAACGTCCATTTCTGTTATTTGCATGCAGTCATGCTTGCGAAAATTGTTGGCCTGCTCAATTGGTAACAGAGTCCGTGCCGACATACAAATGTCCAATTTGTGCAAAAATAGTGCGTAGGAGAATAATAAATACTACTTTGCCACAACAAATGAATATACTTTTCCATTGAGAGCCCTGGCTAAAGGATCTGCCCACAATGCCTATTTTGGAATTTCATGAGAGTCATTGTGCACACTTCCTTCGCGGTATGGATAGAATTGTAGATATTAATAGACAAATAATAAATTTATTAAAAACTAATTATAATTGAAATGTTTGCAGTCACAAAATATAAAAGAAATGCAAGGAAAATTAGAAGCAGAGCGCAGTAACGCATGAACTTCAACAAACATGCGGTACGAAGGCAGAAAAACAGAAAGACAAATACAGACGTACTCAAAAAACGAAATGCCATTGAAGCTGCAGCGTAAGTTATTAAAATCAATACGTTTTATATTGTAATTTTATGATATATTTTATGTTGTAGGTGTCAAGTGAAATCACAAAAACCTGGCACTTTTCAACAGATGGGTCGGAGGCTAGCACCATATTGCAGTGTGGTGATTCAATATGTCCACGATAGTTGCGTCCAAATCTAAGTAAAACCCAGCAAAGTAGAAATGCACCTCCTTTTGAAACATTAGGCATGCGCATGCCTAACCCCTCTGCAACAGACGTTAGATCATGCGTGCCATTTGTAAACATTAAACGTAAGCACTGTATTATAAACGCACTTCTCTTTTGAGCGGGCAATACTGTTAGTCTCCATTTTTCATTTTTCATACGTAGTATTTTTCATTCTTTTCTTGTTTAATCTTTAAACAGGATAGCATTGCTACTTTCTTCAGTGCCTTTCTGTAATATTCATAGCAAGAATTTTTGGAGACCTTATGTTGTTCCAGAATTAATATTTTGTGTAGTCTTGCATAGTCCTTTAAAAACTGAAACCAATTGAAATCTCTCAGAGTCTGTTTGGAGGAGCTACATCTGAAGCTTAGGCGGTACTATCAACAAAATTTATGGTTTCAATATTAGCGTACTCATATTTTGAAGCCCGTTCATTAATTTATTTCTACCCGTTTCCTAGGCATATTATATTTTGGTTGTTATTGAATTTAAATATTATTTTATGCATAAATTTTTGATTTATTTTTATTTAAGTTATTTTATAATAATAATAATAATAATGATTTCATAATTGTCTAATAATGATTTTTGTTTATGTTTTATTTCAGATTCAATTCAATTTTATGCTCTTTTTATATATTTTTATATGTTCCTTGTAAATATAAATGAACTAAAATAATTATGTTTTATGTATATGTATGTATGTTTGTAAGAGCTCATTTTCTTTTTTTTACATTTTAATTGTACACGGCTGACATTAAATTGTGTATTGTTAGAAGAAAATCAATTAGCATGGAAAACGCAGAAAATTTAAATAATTTAATACATAATGTTTGTGATATTGTTTACAATTTGAATGCAGCAGTGGTTGCATATAGAAAAGAACACACAATAATTTATCAAAAATTACAAATTATTCAAAAACAACAAATAACAACGCTCTATTCAATGGTTACTTGAAACCAAAGGAGGTGCTGGACTTTGGTAAGTACGGGCGGTAAATATTATAAAATAGAGAGTAAAATTTAAATGAGTTGCTATTTTAGAAAATGATGAAGAAGTTCTGGAAACAAGATTGACAAAAAAAATGGTTCTAAGTTTTTTTAAGAAAATTTCGCATTAAGCAGCGAAAGTGTAAAAGAGTGCATTACCGGATCAGAAGTCTTGAGTCGTTATATAAAGAATAAATTTCTTTTTGAAACAAATATGCGAGGTGTATGTTGATCATCGATCTAAATAATTAACATATTTAAAATAAAAATGGTTCGGTAGTTGAAGTGAGATGCTATGATCTGATTTATGATTAAGTATGTCACTGTCTATAGTAAATGTTTGCCATTTTAACAAAAATTACTCTATCTAGAATTCCAACATCCCTACTTGATAGAGGAAAGCCGAACTCTAGATGGTGGTTAAGATTAAAGCAAATATAGTCAATTGAAGTAGGAACTGAACTATTCTATGTTCTATGTCAATTCTAGAGCAGTAGGTGGAAGTATTAAATCTGTTTGCAAATAATTTAGCCTTTAGCACCTTGACGTTTTGTTTAACGAAAAACCAATTTTTTTTAATAAAGATGAGCCTCAACAACGAAAAACTGTGTTTGATTTAGAGAATTAACATAATGTATATACTTTTCTAACACAAAAAGAAACTATTGAAAATACAAAAAACATTGATTTAATATGATTGATTTTCTCATAGCTACAGAAAGGAGGATTTTCTGCTACCTTTCATAGTCTGTCACCTATGGCCCTATTGACCTAAGAGCAAATACACCACCTATCAAGAGTGCTTAAATGCTATTAATACATGTTCATCCGCTGTTGAAATATGGTAATTATGAATGATATCATATGTCATTTTAAACATTTTTTAATTACACCATTGAGGAAATATACGCACAAATACGAGAATCAATTAATGACCTCCATGGATGGAAATGAATATCGAACTAAATTAATTAAACTGTATAAAATTTCATATAATTACGCATGTGTAGTTATTTTCCATACATGTATGTATTTATTACATTTAAAAAAATAATAATATTTATGTATGTATGTATTGGTTTGGATAAGAGAATATTTATCCTTTTCTCTAGGTAAAATTAAAAAACATTTATTTTTAATACAAAAAATATTCTATTAATCCAATTATTTTTAATTGTCTTTGTATTTGACAACCTACCATCTTCTGTAGGTTTCCGGGTAGAATCATTATTTTATTTAAAGAATGTCAGAGTTTTATCTTTTTACATAATTTATAAGCGTTCATTATAATGATATACATTTATAGAGAAAAATTAATTGAAAATAATTCCAAAATAACGACTGACCATGAAAACAATTTGCACAGATTTTGCATTAATTATATATATGTATATAACCCTATTTGCGCTTAAAGCAACTATTCAATTATTAATATTCTTACACCTTAATAATTGATAATTAAGAACAATATCCAGCATATCTGAGTTGAAGTAAAAAAGTACAATATAAAATAAAATTCCTAAATTTTTTATTTTTATACAAAATAGGAAAATAATTTGATTGGGTTCGGTTTTTTTTTTTGCTGCACGAACATTAAAACAAAATCATCTTTGAGACGTATATAAATCAAACTTTCTTCATTCATATATAATATATATGAGCATATATCATAAAACTTATATATTCTGCAGAGCATTTATATTCCAATAACGCTCAAAGTCGAACCCGAATTATTTACCGCTAAACGTAATATCTGTGCATTAACATCAATAACTATTTTCAGTAATCAAAGTAGGAAGCTTTTATAGAAATATAAAAATGTAGCTAACGAGAATTATATTTGACTTGAACTTTGTTTTCATAGGGGTCGCGTTATGTAGAGTGTCACAAATTTTACTTGAAATGAAATGTATGAATAAAGTCTGTGTAGCATTTTCAAATTTCGACAGAGATGTAACGCTCTCTCAGATGCTCTCATTTACTTGAAAATTTACTGGTGGAACGCACTTGTGTATACACAGTGTTACTCAAAGTTACTACGAGTAGCTCATGGAACAGACCTGTGGTCAATAAAATCTGCGTTTACCGTACTTACCGTACGTGATATAGAAACGGTTTAAATTTCTTTCTTTATCTTATGTATCTTTGGTAAAAATATTTATTTTCTAAAGTTTTAAAATTTATAAGATAGTAGTCCAAGTATATGTAATAATTAAACAAAAAATCAATTTTCCCGTTATTCACAATAAAAAAAAATGGGCGTGTCGCTTTGATCACTTGGGAAAAAAAATAGAAACGAAAAATTTAAAATTAACAAAATAATTTTTTTTTATTTAAATTTGCTTATTTTAAATGCTTTTTATAATTAATACTAATATTTAGTAGTGGCACCATTATTTTTTATAACTTCGGCGCACCGGCGACCCATATAATCCACTAGATTTGCGCAAATTAATGATTCATTAGATTCGCGCACCTTAATTTATTTTACTTTAGGACGTCTTACATGTAGGTTCATATCAGATCCAAATAAATTAATCAACAACTTTGGTTTCGTTGGACCAAAGCACATTTTTCCAATTATTTCGTAACAAATGTGTTCTTGCAAAAACTATTGTTTCAAATCCATTTCTATCAGTCTATTTCTGTTTTTTTAAATCTTCCGATGAAGGAAATGGATTTTTTCTAGATTGCCGAACCAACAATTGATCAAACCTTTTAGAGGCAGCTCGCTTTCTGCTTCGGTTTTCTTGTTTTTTTTTTTTTTAAATGAATTTCAGAGTACACTTTATTTTATAGCATTTCATTAATTTTGCACTTGCATTCATAGATTTACCTTTCTTTCTTAAATTTAAGATGACTTCTCGTTCCATCTCTGTGCAATGACTGTTATGACCCATGCTGACGAAATAACAAGAAAAAAAAAAAGGAAAATCCCAAGAGTGTTACTTATTATCACTGCTGATTATAAACTTCTAAATACCACCGGCGTCAAATAATTTAACTCTGTCAGAAATATTTTTAGAAAAAAAAAAGTGACTTTCTATTTTTTTTTCAATCCAAAAGTGCATCTTGTTGCTTAAAGTGTGCATATCACTAATATTTTTGCCGAAATAAGTATGAAAGCGAAACTAAATTAAAGTACCTTTCTCAAAATAACATATTAAGTGAATATAATATTTCAAAAAAAATAAAATATGTTCGTCGAAGTGATACAAACCTTCTCGTTTCTATTATTTTTTCCAAAACTGTATATGTACGTGTAAATAACGTTTTTTGTATACGAAGGCGGTTTAATAAGTCAGTGACTTTTTGAATTTCCCCCGCAGTTAGTCTAAATGCAACAGTGCTGCCGTCAGCTGAATCTGCCAGTGGACAACTTTCTAATTTTGAGCAAGCTATGTCGTTCAATTGGTGTTTGATAGCCGTTCAAAGCAGACAAACTCGTGAATTTTAACGAAAATGGAAAAAAGTGAATTTCATTGGGATACGAACTGCTACTCCATCCAGCGTATTCTCCAGATTTAGCCCCCTGCGACTATTTTCTGTTCCAAACCTAAAGAAATGGGTGGGCGGTAAGAGATTTGAGTCAAATGAAGAAGTCATTACCGAAACAAACGCGTATTTGAGAGCTTTGACAAAACCTATTATTTGGAGGGAATAAGAAAATTAGAAAAACGCTGGACTAAATGTATCGAGCTTAAAGGTGATTATGTAGAAAAATAAAATGTTTATTTGAAGAAAAAAATTTGTTTTATTCAAAAAGTCACTGACTTATCAAACCGCCCTCGTATCTTAAATAAAAACAAAAACGCGTGTTCATTATTTGAATCTTTATTTTAGACTGAAAAAGGTTTTAATATGTTGCAATTGAAAAACTTAGCGTTGCTTCCAATAAGTACGCTTATTAGACATAAACATTCCCAAAGCATAAACAATGTTGGAAGCAACGATACATAAACAAAAATACAATATTCAAATTGTAAATCAAAAAACTCTATTTTACAATTACAGACCAGAAGCAAGAGGAAAGTGCAGGAGTGCACAAGCATACAATAGGGCTGACCGGCAATACAATCATGGGTATGGAAGTTTTAAGCGATCTGGATGAACGGATCATTGAAGTATCCGTTCAACATATGTATACATACATATGTTTTATATTTTATAATATATATAATTAATTTTTTACAAATATCAGGGACCGTAACAGTTATCATAAAATAAAAAAAAAATAAAAATCAGCTTTTAACTATTGTTAAATCACACACACACACACACATGAACATGAATTATTATATTATATTATTATAGTTTATTATTATATCGGCTAAATTCCTATAATAATGAAAATAAGAAAAAATTGTGGTAAAAAATACCAGAATTTACCACAATGAAATATATTAATATAGCAAACATTGTAACATTTAATTATCCATATCTAATTATGATAATAAATTTGTAAAGACAATGGAAGGAAGAATCCCAAATGCCGGGACTTCCGTTCTTTTTTTCAACCTTTTATGAAAGGTATTAAAAAATAATACAGTCCACTAAAATTAGCGATAACAGACAACATATTATTTTAACCTTGGTGCTAAAATTAGTTTTAAGATAATTTTATATAAATACTTTTTTTTATTTTTTACTTTTTATTTTAAAACGCAAAAATAACTATTATTTTAGTGTTATATGGTAAATATAAAAATCATAAATAGCTGAGCTTAAATACATTTTGTATGGAATTACAAAAACAAGTACCTTGTATGAAAAATGCATTTTACATTTTCGTTTTAAATATATTCGGCAGCCAGTGCCAGTTTTTTATGATTTTTATATTTATAACGCAAAATAATAGTTATTTGTGTGTTTTTAAATAAAAAGCAGAATAATAAGCAGAAAAATAAAAGGCACAGAAAATAATTATTTTTGAGGAATATAATATAACATAAAGCAAATTTAACTATTATTTTTTGAATTTTATTTTAAAATGCTCACATATATAAAAAGCATGCATAATATAAAGAATTAAAGTTGTTAGAATGATAATTATATACATACTTAAATATGAGTTTAGATAGCTTTTTGTTGTTGCTTTTCTTCATAAAAAATTTTGAAATAACTGTTATTTTTGGTCCCTGATAAATATATGCGCGATCTTTAAATGTGTTTAATATTTGCTTCGAAAATTACAGAACTTAGTTAAAAACTATTTGAGCTTAATGTGTAACTATATAGGACAAGAGAGATGAATCCGTGATCTTTCATATTTAAATTTATTTCAATTTCTCCTTAAATATTGTTATTTCGTCATTTTTTTTTCCTGTGATGACTTCAACGAAACCATTATTTATTTTTCTCCATTGACTGCTAACTGACCTTTAGCTTCAAAAGCCGGCTTAAACTGATGCAAATTAGATTTGACAACATTTACATGAATATTAAGACATTTTCAAGCAATAAACTATACTCCGACAATTCGCCTCGTTAGCATTTATGATGCTGCAACATTTCGTGTTTATAATGTACCCATTCAAAATTATTAAGACAGAATATAAAACTAAGAGTAATGCAAGAGCAATTGTAAAATGAGTGTCTCGAAATTTATACAGACAGCACAAACCCTCAAAACAGAGTATCCTTCCATCAAAGCGAATCATTGCTAGTACATTTTCAAAGAGCAAATTGCTCTCATTTACCTCATTCCCATGTTCCATATTTGCTAGAAATATTTCTATTTTCAGTGAAAGACAAATGACTAATATGTTTTCAAATCTAAGAGTATACTGAAATGTAGTATATCTCTCATACTAAAATTATCCTGCCAAATAACGACACATTGTAGTGTTTTCCCATTAGTGATTACTATTCATTTCGTTTCTAAACGGGTTCATCCTGCTGAAACATATGGCAGGAATATTTATATTTTCAATAACAGCCAAATTACAATATTATTACTCGCAATTTTATAGTTTGTTGTGTCGTATATCGAGATGTCTTTAAACGAGATGTTAACGTTTTAATTGGTTAAGAGATGGGTGTTGGAACATTAATAGAAAATGTGGGGCCAATGAATTTGCCAAAAATGGCACAAGACTCCATATTACGTCAATCGCATTTAATGTGGGGATTTCTTTAACCTCGACTAAACTAGTCTTACGAGTTGATCTCTAAGAAAAGACGAACGAAAGATGGCATCAAGAATACGTTTGGAAAGCAATGCCAAGAAATTCATTATTACGATAGACTGCAAAATAGAAACAAGTTTTGAAACAGTTAACACATTTTTAGCAATTTGTTAATAATAGTAAGCAAACATTAGTAATAAATGCTCTCGTTTACTAAACATCTACACAGTCAAAATACTTAAGACCCGAACAGTAAGACTCAATGACGGTATGACAACAAATATATTGCATAACCAGGCCGAATTATATTTCTAACTTAGCTAAAGCGACATATTTAGACTATTCACAAAACACAAACTGCACACTATGATTATTATAAGATGATAGATATATTCAATAGAAATGAAAAACTGATTTCTTTAAAATATAATCCCGTACTATACAATATGAAGGCTTACAGTCCTGCTAAGTGCCATAACTTAAATACACAAATAAACCACCCTAGTATGTGTGATAAATAAATACATATTTATTAAGCCAAATCTGTGGTTACAGTAAAAAAACTGACAGTCTGAATGGAATCCTAAAATGTATACACATTAGCATGGTTACACCAAAAAGACAACACTACCTACCTACTCCTGATCGATAAGTACCGCAGTTTCAACTGTTAAGACATTTGCAAAAGTACACTTTGTCGTTACCGACGTTAGACCTCGTAAGTAATAATATACAACTACGAAATATTTCAAAATATATTGAAATGATTTAGAACTCTGGTAAATTAGGTAAATTATTTATCATAGCTACAATCATTTTTAAAATCGTTTCTTTGGAAAGACAATAACTTTATTTATTCTAATAATTAACTCAATGTTATGTTTATTTTTTGATAATCGTATATGGAGTAGTGATGGTACTAATTACTTTGAAGATTGTAAAATTAACGAAAGTGTATGTGACGAACTTAATAGTTAATTAGCTGTTTTTATAGTAAGTTTTAACGACAGCCGAAAGCCGAAATGTACGCATCTATCGTTCGTCTTCTTCTATTTTAGGTGCTAAGTAGTAACGTATTTGTCCCAAATCAGGTATACGATATTCAACTACAAGTGGTACATCAGCTGACATAGATAATTGTACTTGATTCGCCAACGGCGTTGCTTTTGTAAATGCATTTAAATAGTTGCAGGCAAATGAGAGTGTTACTGGTTCCTGCATTTCAATTATAACCGCTTCTTCTTCCTTGTCAACGCTAGAAGTTTGTGCCAGTTTTATATTGGCTGTGCCAACATCGCCTGAAGCAGAAAATACAACACCGTCCTTCGTGCAACAAATGCCCATTGATTCACTAAATTGTGCCAGATCACGACAAATTCGTGCAAATTCCATTGATGGCATACGTACTACGCATGAATAGTCTGTTTCAGGTATGCCCAAATGTTCTTGATCGAGATTCATCAGTTTCATTTCATAATCAGAGACTTTCTCACGATTTTGTGATTCAAACATAAATGTTACCGTATCGGCATTATCTTGTGCCTTTATTGTAACTGTATCTTCATTTTTACAGCATTTAAGTATTTTCGCCATACTACCAAGATTCATGCCCATCGATAAATTCCGATCGCATCGAAACTTGTCAAAGCCATCCGACCGTAGCGTCAATGAAACCAAGGAAACATGTGAATTATCCATTGCTTGTAGCTGTAATTAAAAAAATTCAACGTTTTAAATTTGTTCTGTAGCATTTTATGAAATAAATATATTTTACTTGTATGCCGGAATCACTGCAATCAAATGTGCCTTCATTTAATAAATCCTTGATGGCATCCAAAATTTTTTTTAATACAGTGGCATTAGTTAAACGCGCTTCAAACATATTTGCTTTTTATAACTAAATTAAACTATTTTTAATACAATTTTAAAAATATTTGAATTAAATAGCTGTTTCACAATACTTTGCAATAGTATACAGAAAACACAACCTAAGTAGACAAGCAACGCTTTTCAAATGCGTTTTGCGCACAATTTTTGACTAGCGTTCTGCTGAATTTGTTTATTTTGGCGCGAATGTCAAACTTTGACAAGCAGCTGCTGTGACATGACGTAGAGAAATCTAGTGATGAGTAATAATTTTATTATATTATATCAAAATACTTAAAGTAATCTATAATGAAATATATTTTGTTTCTATATTTACATTTTTAAAACAAAAATTTATAAATAATTTACAACATTTATTACTAATATATAATTATCTTTTATTAATAACCTACAATCTAATGCAGTGCAGGATATTGTAACAAATTATTTAGAGCAGCAGAACAGGACAGTAAGCCCACTTTCCTGAAAGTGCTTAACGAATTACCCACTGGCATTACAATGGTGCCAAGTCTTAACACTGTTCTATTAAGCAGGATATAGACAACGCTACATGTTTACAGACAAGGTATGCGTGCTACCAAATCGCACCGTCTATATTCAAGTTTACACACCAAATTTCGGTCTGAGACATGTATACGGTAAAATTAAAACTTTTCAATTATATCTTAAGTCTGCACACATGTGCTTTTCATATCGAATCTGCAGACTTCTCTTAATTTAAGAATTTTGGTGAGATCGCGAAAAAAAATTGTAAAATAAAATAAAATAATTTTCTTTAAAAGAAGCAAATTTGAAAAAAAGTGCTACAAATAATTATTAAGGAAGTTTATATATTTTAAAAATTATTTTATGCTAAAAACGTTATTAAAGGAAGTTTTTATATTTTAAAAAAATTTTGTGAATAAAAATATTAAAATGCAACATTTTAAAGAATTAAATTAAAAATTGTTTTAGTTTCAAGAATTAAAATAAGAAATTGTTTAATTTTAAGATATATAAAATCTTTATATAATGAAATAAATAACATGTCGGTATTATCATCATCTCAATTCCTTCAGTTTCGATTACTATTTTGCACTCTGTACTTGCTCCGCTGTTCTGAACGCTGTAGAAAATAAATCAAAATGAAGTATGCATACTTTGTTTCAAAGTGTATAGCAAAGCGCATACTTGAACATCATACTTGGTGTGCAGATATGTTGCATCGTCTATATCATGCTTTAATAATGATTTTTGGAAGAAAATTAAAACTTCAGTCAGCTGTTTATTACTAACAACTGTTACGAGTGTAAATGAGTAAATTTAAATACTTTAAAAAAGAAAGTTTTTAATAAAATTTGTGAAGACAACTAACAGGTAATATATATATATTATATATTATTTCTGTATTATGTTCATTAAAAATTGCAATACATAAATAAATATAGAACACAATCGTGAAAATAGAAGAAAAAAGTGTAATAACTAAATTAATTCAGAATCTCGTGTATAATCTAAATTTTTTTTATAAAATTCAACCGCAAATATCTTTGAATTTTTTCTTGTCGTTATTCTTAAGCAGCAAAAGTTGTTTTATTGAACCATTTATGTCAAAATAATACTATAATGCATATTTTTATTCTTAAATAAAACTTATTAAAATTAGGTGTAATGCAATTTTTTTTGAGGGAAATAGTAAACGATGTTGGTATGGCAGCGAATGTTAGTATTTACTAGAATTTCGACTAGGGTAAATAAGATAAAAATTAGGTAAATTATGTGTTACTATGTGAATATTTTATAAGATGTTTAATAAATAAATAAATAAATAAAAATAAATATATAAACTAGTGCGACTAGTGGAGTAACATTAGCATGACTTTCTCAGCATTACGTTCCTAGATTAGGTTCTATACATAAGAAAGAACAAATCATGCAACAAATAATGCCTCTACGAATAGAATAGGTTTGAAATTTAACAATTAAAAATAAAAAATATAATTAATTAATTAATTCAATTATTCTACAGCTGGTTTATGATTTCGTTCTAAATATATAAATACAGCAAGTAAAATTGTTAATAAAAACTTTCATAGCAAAAGTAACAAAACTCCAGCAAAAATATGCGAACATAAAAAGTCAAGTACGGCTTTGGATCAGTTGGTTAAGGCGCGCTGATTCTGAGCTTCATATTTGGCAGGACCCGAGTTCGATTCCTGGTACTTGCAGTCTCAAAAATAATTATTTACGATTAATTAAATACAAGAATTATTTCCAAGACCACTGATGAAGGGTATTTGGCAATACTCGAAACAGCTGTATGGTCAGCCAAAAATTCAATTAATTAAAATAATTTAGAAAATAAATTTTTGTTGTTGTTTCACTTATGTTCGAAAACCTCTTTAAATAAATAAACAAAAAAAAATAAGTGTAGTAAATAAAAATCAACACATAAGAGAAATTCGTTTACCTTGCGTATTCTCGTAAGTATCAAACAGCCATACACATTGTAATGGTCAACGCAAGTGTACGTGACACTTTATACGCACTCAGCGCTTTAACTTGCCACTGATGCTGCGCTTATATATATGTTAAAGCTTATCTTATGTACATTTAACATATAAGAAATATATAACGCTCAAGTGCTAAGACGCTGAGCATTAGCATTAAGATGAATCAATTATAATAAACCTAATTTACTTCTCGGTAATAAGAACTCTTCAATATAAGTGCAGTACGAAAAGTTATTAGAAAATTTTAATTTACTTTATCTCAATTCACTCGAACTTGCACGGGGCATTATTAGGCCTTTTCGATGGCTCGCAAGTACGGCAAAAAACAGCAAGTTGTTGGCCTATGCAGGCCTATACTGGCCGCAATGTATGCAAAACAACAACACTATTTTCTCTACCTCGGCCAGCATAGTTATGCTGGCCAACCACATCGGCCAGTAAAAAAAAAAATGTTACCAACGCAATAAGTGAACTATTGTGAACCTTCATTGAAAATTCCAACGAATAGTGCAATCAAATGTCAAAAATTGAGGAAATAAAATTCAAACCAGAATTCAAAAATTTGAAAAATCTTGAAAAGTAACGAAAAAATAATAAGAATGTAGAAATCGTAAGTATTAAGCACATTGAATTTTTTTTATGTTAGTTATTACCAAGTAACATTTATTTTATTTCATTTAATTTGTAGTTTACATGCGTAAAAATTTTTTTTATAAAAATACACGCAAGTAAAACGTTGCTTTCTTCTCTCAACATCGACAGTACCTACAAAAATTTACTTATCTTAGTGTTTTATTTTTAAATTTCCAATATTCTTACCATTCCTTTTAATTCCTTGTTCATTTTAATTTTAAAATATTTTTATAAAAATATATTTGATTTATATGCACATATACAAGATTTGCTGTTTGTCAAAACAAAACCTTTGACAGATTGCAACAGTGATGCCAATAACTCGCGTGGCCAACATAGGCCAACATGCATTTTTTGCCGTACTTGCGAGCCACCGAAAAGGCCTATTAATATTAAAATAATATTAATATAAAAATTAAAATTATATATATAAAATATATATTAGGCATTTTCGGTGGCTCGTAAGTATGGCAAAAAATGCATGCTGGCTTATATTGGCTACGCGAGACAATGGTATCACTGTTGCAATGTCAAGTGTAATATCTTGGCAAATAGTAAAAATAGCATAATGCAAGTAAATTATATTTTGTATAAAAATAAAAAATTAACATAAATTGAAAAATAAAATGAATACAAAATTAAAAGGAATGGTAAAAGTGTTGGAAATTTAATAATAATACATTGAAATTTTTTTTCTTCAGAATTTTTAAATTTATGAAATTTTTGAATTTTTGTTTACTTGCGATTTTTGCCATATTATTGCAATATTCGTTGGAATTTCCAATAAAGGTTCGTCGAGCCAGAGAAATAGTATTGTTGTTTTGCATATATACATTTCGGTCGGTATCGGCTAGTAAATTGCTGTTTTTTTGCCATACAAGCGAACCACCAAAAAGGCCTATTATTAAAAGGTGAACATATGATTAGCAAGTAGTAAGAAATTATTATACTACAGCCCCAAAAGATAGTAATTTGATGTGATCGTGGTAAAATCATATAAAATACGCTTTGGTACTAACGCATTATATTTTTAAACTTTGACGCAACGAAATTTTATATTTATCTCCTAAAATCAAAACTAAAATTTTTCAAAATATTCCGTTATCAAAACTACTTGAAATATTAGAAAAAGGTGAAAAATTTCAATAACTTCAGCTGGAGTTAGTGCACTTTTCATTAACATCTACAAAAGCTCCACGGCAAATTATTGTTGTTCAAAAAAACATATTTTTGTTCATAATGGAGTTGCCGTTCTTGTAAGGTATTCTTTGGTATGATTTATGAATTTTGGCAGTAATGGCATTCAAGTTCTGTTATTTGGCGACAACCGTTGAAGTTTTTGCGCGTCTTTAATAATTTCTCTAATAAACCTCAAGCTAAGCGGCTGTGTGTGTTGTTTTATGTGACTATTTTTGCAAACTTTTTTAATTAAGTGTTTTTTTTATTCTAAAAATCGGCATTAGAACATATTTAAAAAAAAAAGCGCTCAAATTATATTAAAATAATTTGAAAATAATTACATTACTGATTGGTCGTGTCTGTCTATACGGGATGCTGGAACGAATGCAGTCGGAGGATTTCAATTGTGAAAATGGTAAGTTATTTGTCCGAAGTTAGCACCTAGAAATGAAAACAATTATTTTGTTTTGTTTGGTTGCAAAAATTCAATGACTTTTCATAATTCGGTTATATATGAAGCATTTGTCTATACTTTACTTACCAAACAAAAAAAATTCTAAAATGAGACGGCGAGACGGCGTCAGTCTCGTCTTTGCTCGCGTTTTTGTTTTTCACATGAAAATGAAATATTTTTTTTTCCATTAAATTATGAATTCCAAAAATTGTCTAAATGCTATAAATTCCAATAAGCTATAATTTTGTGTAACTACAGCGTTGTGTAAGGTTAGTTAGATTTTAGCTTTTATATGGGAACAATTTTTTAAAGGAAAACTGCTTTCTAGAATTTTTCTGCAAATGCGTCTTTGCTAGCGTTTTTTTTCACAAGATTTTACATGAACATTTTTTGTTCACTTGAATAAAATTTTATAAAAGAAAAATTATTTTTAAGTACCAATTAATTCACATAAATGATAAATTTATTTAATAACGACGTTTTATAAGGTTCATTAGATATTTGTTTTTAACTGAAATCAATCTTTTAATAAACAAATGATATATCTGGAATCTAGTTTCGTCATTAAAAATGTTTTTTACATGAATTACAAATACGTACAAGTGAATTCATTACTCTAAAAAACTAATTACTTTTAAATAATAAATAAACGTAAATAAATTTTAAATAATATAAATACCGTTTAATACCGTTTTTTAAAAATTTTTTTTTAACAAAGAGGAAAGTTCTAAAATGTCGGCCATGTTGTCTTTGGTAAGGTTTTTTTTTCACGTGATTTGGCATAATCGTCACTGAATTTAATTTCCTAGAAAAATAAATTATTTTAAAATACCAATTATAAATTTATTAGTGTTGACACCATTTTTTGCATTAAATAAAAAAATATTTATTATCCTTAATGCGGTTGTAATGATCTTTTATAACTCAACCATGTAATGTTCACGCTATTTAGTTTTTGCTTGCCTTAGTTTATAGTTTTTAAGTAAATTTAATATAAATGCATTTGAATTGAATTTTTTTAAAAATATTAAAAATAATAATTATATAATTTTTAATTAATAAATTTAAATTTATTGGTGATATCGGCATTGCAAAATGTTGATTGATTTCATTAACCGTAGAAAATTTCATATTTACCGAAACTAATATAAAAAGTGTTCGATTTGCTAATGTTATATGTCCCTTTTTCAGTTCATAATAATAATTGTCGTACCAAATATACAATTTCCTCCCAAATAAAAATATAACTTAGCGTTGTCCACAGTTGTAATCATGTGTACGGTCACTTGAGGGATCGCAATTAACATAAGCGCCCAATACATTGGCAGCAGAAAAGAGAATACCATAAACTACTGTAATTATCCAACCAGTCTCTTTTAAAAATTGCCAATTCACACTGTACATGCAAGCAGTTTGAACCGGATAAATAGGTTTATATCCGTACCAAGATTTTTCAACAACAAATTCAACAATTTCTCCATAACTGTCAAACTTTGGACACTTACGAAAAACTCCATCGAGTACATGATAGATGTAAGGTAGCGGCTCATCGATTTCTGGTTCCACTTGTAAAAGCATTAAATTGTTATCAAGTCTACCTGCTTTTATATGTAGATAGTCTGTCTCAACTGCGAATCGGTGCCATGTTTTCATTATTTGTTTGTTTTCGGCGGTCTTATTGTTGCCGTCGTACAAAATAATCATCCACTCATCACGAAAAATTTTAACCATTTGATCTGGATCGTTTGCAATAGGATTCAAGTCAACATCACGTAAATTGGAATCAGTTATAAAAACTGAGTGATCAAAATTTAAAGAAAATATAACCAGCGATATAACAAAAATATACGCACAATAAAAGCTTAAAATATAACGATCGGACATGCTTTCTTTGTTGTACGTTCCAAAACGAAATGTTTTTAAGTTTCAAAAATTTTTTATATTTTTTATATCAATTTATTTTATATTTAACTTATATATTGAAATCTGCATAGCCTATTATAAAATTTTTGATTATTGTTTATTTTACTCGAAAACTTTGAAATACAAATTATTATTAATGATATATGACAAAATTGTGAACGATACCGTCACAATAACTTTTTTTAATCTCAACATTTGTTGTAATTATTACTTAAGCATTGAGTTTGTAAATAATGTTAATAGCTCTATTAAATAAAATGTTAAAAAAAAATATTTAAATATCTCCCTTGAAATTAATATTGCGATTAAAACTATACTACTTGTCAAATAAGTAAATGTGTAATTGCTACATATAATAATTATTTATATGCAAACAACAACAAATTACTGCCATTAGTTGGAGCGTTGACGAATCATAATACTATGACAGTTATATACTATATACCGTTATAATGATATTGTAAATCGCCCAATACATTCGTTTTATTATTTTTTATAATTATTGTACATCACTTTTAATAAATATATCGCAAAGTAATAATTGCATATATTAGAATTAATTAAAATTAATGTTAATTTATATACATATATATTGGTTCATAATATTAAATTAAAAAAAAATTTTACTACACGAACATTGCATATAAAATTAGATATATGAATATACAGTTTGTCAAGTATGAGTTTACACATTGAAAAAAAATTGAAAATATCATTTTCTTATTCAAAAAAAGACAACTTTTTGTTTTAGTATATATGTTTTTTATTTTATATATTTGTTAATTACTATATTAGGAATATAAACATAAAATAAATTATAAAATTATTGAAAGAAGAACATGAAATATCACTTTTTTTGAATAAGCAGTTAAAACTTTCAATGTTTTTTGAATGCGTAAACTCATACTTGACAAACTGTATGTATGTAAATGATTATGAATACAAATGTGTTTTAGACAGATGTGTGGTACATATGGGAAACATGTATTATATTTGTATAATATTATTATTTTATATTATATGTATGTATACAGTCATTTTGCGAATTTTACTTTTTGATGTAAATTCAACTATAATAGTATCATCATCAATAATTATCATAACATTAATCTATATATTCTACCTCAATTTCCTAGGGGCCATTCATATGTATGAACATTTTAAAAAGAGATGGCAACCATATTTGTTTGTTGTTTTTTTACCTTTTTGACGTTTGCAAAATCTTCATCGGCCGGACGCCCGCAAACAAATTTAACGGGGAATATAATCAAAAAAATTGAACTTTTAAAGTTGTATCGTCTAAGAAAATCAACTTAAAGTGTTTGTAAAACGCAAGAAAATTATAAATGAGTTGTTTAGTAAAAAATTAAACAACAGTATGAGTGCTTCAAGTGATTGTTTTGCATCTGTAACTAGTACGACAGCAATTGCAGCGAACGGTAATACAATTGCAGCAACACAGTGCAGTGCAGGTCCTTCCCCAAATCGTTGGTTAACCGAAGAGGTTTTTAAATTAATTGATTTAGTGCGTAGCGATGAAGCTATCTATAATCAAAGGCACAAATATTACTTCTGTCGTCCTTATGTTGATAGTTTTTGGCGTGAGGTAGACGCAATTTTGGAAAAGCACCGTAAGTATATAAGAATAATGTTCCTTTTTGTGACATTTACTGTATTCTAATTAGAATACTAATGAGTAAATATTCTAATTAATTTCTTAAATTTTATTTATATATGTAGTTAATATTTTGTAAATTATTTTTTATATATTTATAGCTGGTTCCAGTCTTGCAAAGTGGACAAATTTGAGGATTTCATTTCGACGCGAGTTCACACATTTCTTGCAAGAAAAAGTTCCACCATGTTGGGCTTATTTTGATCGTATGCTTTTTCTCCAACCATTTCTTAGAAGGTAGTAAAGCTTGTAAATTTATTAATAATTATTTTTTTGTGTGTGTGATTCCATTCCTATGAATGCCATAGGAATGGCATTCATAAATTTTACTTCATCATATTGAGTTTATAATTTCGAGTCATTTGTTTACAATATTCATGATAAAAACAACAAAAATCTCCTCTTTTTAAACAAAAAGTTACAACAACAATCGCTTCATTTACAAAAGTATTTAGTGTATAGGCTAATAAAAAAAAGTCCAAAATAATTTTTTTATATGCGTTTTATGTAGAGAATTGTACACAACCTATATTGCGTGATTAGATTTTGTAAACATAAGCGAAAAAATGCAAAGACGTTAGAAAAGCAAAGAAAGACCATGTTTTATATTATTCATCATTTAAATTTGTTGTTCTTTAATGTCTTTCATTCGCGGTTCAATTGTGGTTACTTATTAATATATAGGCAATTAATTGTTATTAACCTATTATATGTTGTACTAAGTTTTATTATTTACTTTTAGAAAAAAGGATATGCCTGTGCAGCGCAACGACAGCGTGCATGATTCAATAAATCGCATCAACAACATCGCAAATAATTTACAACGTCAACGTGCCATGGCAGTTGTTGCTGCTCATAGTGGTCCACTGCTCCGAAATTGTAATAATGCGACCAGTAATAGCACCATGCGGAATATTCATGCACAGATTCCACATACCCAACAATTACCATTCGATAACTCTTTTGAACATGAACAACAAAATAGTTTACGTTTTAATGGCAATGGAAATGACGAGCAGCAACCATCAAGATATACTATAATGGAATCAGATACATTGGAATCATCACATAATATAAAAATTGAGTCCGATGATATGTCAGATGATCGCAATCCAGTTGTAACAAATAATAGTTACGAGAATGATGATAACGATGAGGATGACGACGATGATATAGATGATGCCAATGATGATGATGATATTGATGATGATGAGTATATAACACGTATGAGCAATGTACGTCGTTATTTAAATCAAAGATCTCGTTTGCACTCAATTGATGGTGTTACCATTACAGAAATTGGTACGGAACAATCTCACCGAATCAATAATTTTGATCGATCAGCATTTGGACAGGGTCCAACATCATCATTGCAACATAATAATCTATGTTGTGAACAACCAAATTCAATTTCAAATGCCTCTCATTCATCTGAAGAACAGTCAACTAGTGAGATGGCGGCTGCTGCACAAGCATTAGCAAATGCAGCTGCAAGTTCAGCTAATGCAAACGTAAATTTACGACAACCACCAACTACTGTAGCAACAACACAGCACATAAACACAGCTCCAACTAACAATAATTACTTTCATCGACACCTTGAGATCTCATCAATATCATCAGGTTTGCAAACATCTACTAGTGCTGCTCTTTTACGGCGTTCCAGAGCTAATGAAGAATGCATTTGCATAACTGATCCAGATGCTATGTTTCTTATGAGTTTATTGCCAGACATAAAGAAACTAAATGGCCGTGATCGTGGTAAGCTAAAAATGGCATTTCAAAATATTCTACAAATGGTGTTGTATCCGGAAAGCAATCGTTAAAAGGTGCTGATAAAAGATTGTTGTTGTTACAGCTGCTAATACATCGTGTGTTATTTAAAGTATGTTTAATTTACATTTCTCTATATAATTAAATCAATATTCAAAATACATAATTTGATAGATTACATCGATTTTATTTTTACAGATTTTCATTCATAAAATACGCTGTTAGAGGAACTATCACTTGTCATCATTAAATTATGTTGCTGATTTAAGTTAATTGGTATGTTAAGTCTCTTATATTTTATACAGTATTTTATGCTTTAAGATTAACGCACTTTGATACCTTTTTTTAAAGTTTAAAACAAAAAAAGCTTTATTATGTCCAAAAAGAATGATTTAAAACAAATTATTATCAATTAAACTTTAATAATAAATAATAAAAGTATATAAAGAATTATGAGTATTATAAGTATTTCAAGCTAGTTGTGAAAATAATTCAAGCTTTCTACTAAAAGAATTATAATAAAAAAATATATATTCAAATAATTACCCTATACGCGAAGGATAAACAATATTAAAAAAATGTAATGATGACATTACAATTAATTGATATAAAAAATTTAAAGTTTATTTATTAACAAGAATAATTTAAACCAAATATAGAGATAAATGTCTTAAATTATACAATTATTTAAATGATTTAAAGCGCGTTAGCAAAAATAAATTTAAAAAAATATTAAAAATTTATAGCCTCAAAGGAATTTGATAAAATTAAATGAGTAATAAAAATAAAATATTATATAATTAAAATAAAACTAAAATTAATAAAAATAATATTAAAACTAATAAAAATAGTAAAAAAAATTAATAAAAAAGTATTAAATTGAATAAAATTTAAATTTAAAATAATAAAAATAAAATTAATAATAAGCCTAATCAAAATTAAATTAATAATAAGATTAATAAAAATAAAAACAGTAAAAATATAATTAATAGAAATGAAGTTAAAATTAAAAATACAATAAACTTAATAATAATAAAAATAAACTTAAAAATTGTAGTATTAAAATAATAACTTTTAAAAAAGAAATAATAAAAAAAAAAATTAAATTAAAAATAAAATTGAAAACAACAAAAATAAAATAAAAAATAAAATAAAAAAATTAAAAATAAAATTCAAAATATAAAAATAAAATTGAAAACAACAAAAATAAAATTAAAACTATTATTAAAAAAAACCATGAGAATAATAAAAAAAAAAATAATAAAAATAGTGGAAATAAAAAAATATTAAAAATAATGAAACTTAAAAATCATAATAGAAAATTAAAATTAAAAATAATTATTAAAATTAATAATAATAAAAATTAATACTTATAATAATAAATACTGAAATAAATAATAAAAATAATGACGATAAAATTAAAAATTGAAATAATAAATATCGTATAAATAACAATGCAAGTGTTTTTAAATTTATTATTAAAAATATTAACAAAAAGATTAATAAAAACTTTACCAAAAATATTAACATATATAAGAAATATAAAAAAAATTAAAAAATAAATGTTTATATAATTTTAAAAAAATATAATCGAGAATGAATTCTTCATATCAATATATTACATAAATTTTATAAGTAAATTGAAAAATGCTAAGTAATAAACAATATAAAATAAAAATATATGAAAATGAAAAGTGATGATAAATGATGATCTGCTCTTCGATAAGTGATCGATTTGAAAATTCAAGGTGTGATTTTGCTATAATATTTCATATTTAAATTTACTAGTTTCCAAAATTATTATTTTATAAAAATTGAGTCTTCTACTATGTCAAATTATAAAAAAAAAACAAATTTCTTTTATTTTTATGAATCTATTTTTTTTTTCTGTCAAGTATGACAATAATAATAAATAATATTTAGTATGGCTTAAAAAAAGAAAGGTGGGACATACATATACATATCTAAGATGTCTCTCTAATTTTCCTTCTCAACCTTGTAAAAGTGTTGAAGGGAGACATCAGTGCAACTAGAGGGTTTGGGTGCATATATAAATTAATGTTTTTTTTTTTTTTAGTATTTTTTTAGTATATCTTTATTCAAAGTCAAATTTGAAACTAAAACTTATTTTACATTTTGATAAAAAAAAATGATTATTCTGTTTTTACAAAATAATTCAAAGTTTTTTCTAACAGTTATTATAAAATAATAAGAAAAAATGAATGCGTATAAATTGCATACAATGATTTATTATTTGTTATATTCTCTCTCTGCATTTTAAGAAGCAGTAGCTCTAGCACTAAACTTAACTACGCGTACAATTGCAGACTCACCATCAACAATCCCGGTGGGAAAGTAATGCCGCATATTTAAAGTGTTAACTAGTATGCGATGAGCGTAATTCTTTATAATACGAGATATTTGTTTCTTGATAGTCGGAACACATAGTTGTTTATGCAACTGTTCATTCGTTATATTATATACCAAGGCGCCTTTGTGATTATGAGTAGTGCTTTAGATTAGAATCGCTGTATAAACGGCTGGTTTGAGTCTGCTGCAGTACTCCTTAATTGGACTCCACTACTCCATATAGGTTTTAGTAAAGTTTTGTATAAATTAAATAATAAAAGTATTTGATTAATTTTAAGCTCTATAAAACGAGCTGAAGTCAACTTTATTCTATTACTTCAAACTAAACACTAACTTAAAAATAATAGCCTTTCCCCATTTTGCACATATGCATCTGCATTATGAATGAGGTGCAAAGTAAAGATGAAAGAGCCAACCGCACTGTCAGAGAAGCAACTTATATTTTTTCTGTTCTGTTCGTTAACTTATATAAGCAGTTGATTATCAAGTGGCAGTTTGGAATTTCGACTGAGGAACCAAAATAAGTTTCTTAATTTGAGATCCAAGGGTTTGCGTTTTTTGAATATGTGTGTTTTGCAGGTTAGTTGACTATCGAGATGTATACTCAAGAATTTTGTTTTTACAATTTGTGTTAATTGGGTTTGTTTATTAAAACTGGTGAGCAGATTTTGTTTCATTTGGTTTTAATATTGTTGAGATAAAAAACATCAACTATACTCATAAAGAAAAATTTGACTTGTTGACTTATGAGTAGTTTATGTCATACTGTAAAAATTACTTAAAACTAAAGAATACAATAGTGTTGTGCTGCCAGATTTTCAACACTCCTCCTCAAAACAACACTATCTCTCACATAAATAATACAAAATTTCCATTTTTTATATATATCTTACATAATTCAAGATCAGTTCAAATTGTTGAAGTTAAAATTTACTTTGGAGTTCATTACATTTAATTTTTAGAAATTCATTTACAATTCTCTCAAAACTCTGATAACGTTTTATAAGTTTACATTTTATCAACAATTCAATATAAACCTAAACTTTTTGCAAAAATATTATGCTTAATTTTGTTCAAATTTTTAGTTGGTATATCTGCAGTCATATTATCAGTACTAATATAAGCTAAATCAATAATTTTATTACAATAGAGATCTCTCACAAAATGATATTTAAGATCAATGTGTTTACTACGATTGTGGTATACAGGGTTCTTCACCAATTGTTGCGCACTAAGGTTGTCGCTATTTAAAACAATTGGACTTCCAACATCAGTGTCAATTTCTTTCATAAGCTGCTTCAAATAGACCGCCTCTTTTGCTGCAACCGATAAACCAATATATTTAGCTTCAGTTCTGCTTTGTGCCACGACGGATTGTTTTTTTAGACTGCCATGAGAATACCGCTCCAGTCAAGAAAAACGCATAACGTGTGAACGATTTTCTATCTGAAGTATCATTGCCCCAGTTTGCATCTACAAAACCTGTAACAGAAGCATTCGCCTTACTGTAATTAAGTTTATAATTTTTAGTTTTTGATAAGTAACGTAAAATATGTTTTGCTCCTGCAAAATGCTCTGCATGAGGATTTGTATTACGTTGCTATAATTTAATAATGGTTGACACAGCTACATACATTAAAGCGCCAATTAGAAATTGATATTCAACTGGATCTACTACTCTGCAATCTTTTGATTTACATTCAATTTGAAATCCTGCGTCTAATGGTGTGGATGCTTCTCTACAGTTTTCCATATGGTATTGTTTTAGAAGATTTGTAATGTGTTGTCGTTGACGTATAGAAATAAATCCTAGCTCACCTTGCCGTTCTATTTCTCAGCCCAAATAATAATTCAAAGTACCGCCATCCTTTACTTCAAATTCATTAGCAATCATAGCCTTTATTTGTTCCAATTCGTTCTTATCAGAACTACCCATAATAAAATCATCTACATAGACGGCTATTAAATTAAAAACATTATTTTTATTTTTAATATAAACGCAAGTGTCGCTCTTATAGGGTGCAAACTCTATTTACTTTAATACTTTATTAAGCTTAGCATTCCACTCTCTGCCACTTTGTTTCAAACCGTATAAGAATTTTTTTAATTTTAAAACTAAATCGGGATATTTATGACTAATGATACCGTCCGGTTATTTCATGAATACATCTTCTTGTAGGTCACTATTTATATAGGCTATGGATACATCCATTTGGTGTAAGTATAATTCTTTTTTTTCAACCGCTAATGTTATAATCATTTGAACTGTTTCATGCCTCACAACCGGTGAAAAAGTTACATCCTTTAGCTACTAATCTAGCCTTAAAGCGATTTACATTACCGTCTTTATCATATTTAACACTAAAGATCCACTTACAGCCAATAACATGTTGACCTTTTGGTAATTTAACCAAAGACCATGTATAATTTTTGAGCAACGACTTGTACTCCTCCTCCATTGCAAATTTCCATTCTTTTGCGTTTTTATTAGATACTTCATTGATAGACTGAGGTATTTCAATGGCTTCACTCTTCCTCTTAACTTCGGCAATTTTCGCGAATTTTGAGTAAGAAGTTTTTACGTTAGCTACGTTACATTTTGTGTTATAAATTTTTCTTGGACGGCCTCGTTCTCCTTTCCTTAATATCTTTGGACGACGTAGTCCTACTTTTGCTATCTTATTTCGACTTCTTTCACCATTATCTTTATGATATTTTTTACTGTTAATATTTTTCTTGTCCAATGACTCTATATTTATGCCATGTGCAGATTGTTCATCATTCTTTTTACTTTGTATTAATGGTTCATGTTCTAGTTTAGATTCTAATTTTTCCTCTTCATTTCCTATAACCTCTGCTCTAGCATATTTGTTGAATTTAATTTTTTCCACATACATTTCATTAAATCGTACATCTCGCCTTTCAACTACTTTTGCTTCCTCTGTATCAAATAGTCTATAAGCCTTAGCAATAAGTGAA